GTGAGAAGGGAGGGGGGCGGGGGGGCGCGGGCGGCGCCAGCCACAGGACAGCGCTCCAACTAATCAGTGCCCCGAACGTGCAGAGAGGTACCTATCCTGTAAAAACACGTGCACCCACCTGCGTTGCACCAAGTCCAGAGCCAACATTGCTGGGGGCTGGTAGAGCCCATCCTCAAGGGCTGCTGCCAGCCCTGTGCCCGAGCCTGGGAAGCCCGGGGAACTCGCTTTGCTGGCTGGCTGCCCATGCAGCTGCCCCACGGCCAGCACAGCGGCGAGGAGCAGCCAGCTCTGCTGACCAGAGCAACCATGGCTTTGAGCAGAGATGCCACTGCCCCACAGAACGGGGCAGATGGTCAGGCTGCAGCCCAACTGCTGAACTGCCCAGACCAGGAAAGAGCTCAGCAACTTTTTAATTAAACAGTCTGGGTCAGTGCTGGGCCATGCCACCCATGGTGCTGCCGCTGCGGCAGCGGCTGCAGCACAGGCAGTGGCGGCTCGCGCTGGCTTCGCCGCTGGTGCTTTGCTGCGGGCTGGGTCCTTCTGCTCTGCTCAAGGGGGGTGGCAAGGCGCAGATGTTACAGACCCCATGCGCCTCGTGGCTGCTTCGCCTGGTGCAAATCCAGACTTCAGAGCTGGGCTTTCGAGCAGATTTGCAGAGTATGGCACATAATATCTGCAACCTATACCAAGCATATCCCAAGTGTTTTATAGCCCAATAGCTGCAGTTAGCACACCAAACCTGGAAACATTTTTAACTTAGTCTATTAAAAACTAATGGCTTTTAATAATGCCTCAGACAAGCCAAACTGCAGTTCCTGTTGCCCATTTCAGAACGTAGCCTATAGTTTAGCCATAGGAAACCCCTGGATAACTTTACTGTCCTTTGAAAGCAACTTTCAAAATCAAAGATCAGCTTAGGTGACACTGACAGAACAAGCTGTAGGTACCAGGGGAATAACACACACAGCCAACTGTCTTTTTTTATAAAAGTATTTTTAATAAACTGATGGATTTAAGATGCTAGACAACTTCTTGCCATGTACAGGTAACAAAAGTCAAAATTCTTTTAATTTTATACAAATACTATGTAGTACAGTAAACTTGAATACAAGTTTACAAAAAAATGCATCAGTGAATGTTCAGCTTGTAACCAACTTCCAACAGTGAAAATTATCATGTATCAATAGTGATCAGAATTGCATTGCAAGTTTTAGAAGTAATGCAACTATGTTTTTACCAAGCGACTCTGAAGTTACTGGTGCACATTGACAGTACATTGGATTTTTTTGGCTTGCTGAAGAGAAAATAGCATTTAAATAAAATGACTTTGAGTTAAAGAATATAATACGTATCAAAAGTACTATCTTACAGAAAAATTAAACAAGAATGAGAAAGTAAACAGAGCAGAACCCTGAAGTAGTGATATTTTTCTACCCGTTTTGATGGGAAAGACTCCACAGGTGTCCAGCTTTTTCTCACAGCATTTTGGAGTGTTCTAATCCTAGCACAGTGTGGTCATTACTAGACTAAAGTAATCCCTGCTTGTCAGTAATGCTGGTGAAAGGTAACTTGCTCTATTGCTAACAAATTGGAGTAACCACTGGCAGGGTGACTTCTTGGAGGCATCCAGTGGAGGCTGAGTTGACAGCACGCGATTGAAGTTACAGTACTGCTTGCTTTGATACAATACCCAATAGCCTTCAGGGTTCAGGTGTCAGTTTCCTCACAGGATTTACAAATGGATGGTTTTGCAACAACAACAACAAACAAAACAAACAAACAAAAAAGGAGCATAAGACAGTATTTTCACCTGTATGGCTACCAATAAAATGAATGTTTTTGTTACAAACTTTCCAGTCTGCTTTATAAAAAATAGTCTTCGTTTTACTTCTAAATAAAAACTGTGCTGTGATCTGTCACCTTCTTGCATTGTACATGCTGTAATTGTATGTGTTAATGAAGGTGTAGAGATTTGTGACCTAGCGCTCTGGATATATCAGAAGCCTAAAGAGCTGATTTTGGTACATAAAAGTTAGGTAGCAATGAAAATTAATTCTATTTATTTTTTCCTAAAACCTAGGAAAAGCTACAGTACATTGCTAGATCAGTGGCCTCAACCCTGAGCTGAAATAAAGGACCTGCCTTGGCCAAGAGACTTAGTCACATTACTACCACAGCTGCGCAGCAGAGGCAAAATAACCTGTCTGTGGCCTGTTGCCTAAGCTGTAAGTAGTGCGAGATTCAGTTCTGTAATGCTTGAGAGTTGACTGGAGACCACCATATTCATTTTCACTACAGGAGAAAAAGAAAGGAGAACTCAAAGCCAGAGATTCAAGTGAAAAAGCACTCAACAGGGACAGCCAGTATGTCCAGCTTCCAGAGACCAGAGAACATAGTGGCAGACTTGTCAGTCTTCAGTGTTTCCCACTTGGCAGAAGAGATTATTCAAAGACGTACCAAACTACAGTTAAAGAGACTTTTTCCAGAAAGAGTCTCACTTGATTTTTTTTCCTCCAGAACTGAGCGTGTCTCTCTCTCTGTACCTATACTGCACCACAGAAGATGCGTGAAAACTTAAAGACTGTCTGACAAAGGATTCAACCCAACTGCTAGCAGAAAAACTTCGGCTCTTTTCTAACATGAGTCAGAGTTGGCAATCGTAAGAATTCTTACTGCGATACCACCTACTGCACCTTCCTGTAGGGCTCAGTGGCAGACTACCCATGGCTAGGAGCATTTGTAACATGAAGCATTTTTGCCTCCCAAGAGGACTTTTTTTCCTTTTAAACAGCAGAAACTGTAGAGTCAGTATTTCACTTAATGGAAAAACTAAATCCAGCAACAGACTGAAAATAAAGCTTGTAAGAATCATTTATACTTCTAGTAATGCACACTTCTTCGTGAGCTGATCAGTTTACGGATGGTATGTTTTTCGTTAGTTTAAGGCAGCAAGTCTTTCAAAATACACAAGCTCACCTCCCTCATGTTTGTGCTACTGTATCCTTATGTGCAACAAGAGAACCTCACTAATTTACACTAATGACTGGAAGAACCATTAATTCTCTTGGTAAGTGAACAAGAATAAGGCATTCCATTATATATTCTGATCATTAATTATAATTTAGCTCTAATTATAATCTACCAGCAAACATACTTCTGTGTTTTAGAAAATAGTATCTCTCACCTTCAGATATAATTATGTGTGCAGATTAGTGGGTTCTGCTGTGTAAACACGCAGGTGCATAAGCAATTTTCAGGTTTTTCTTCATTACATCTGACAAGAAAGTTAATGCCACAGACAGAGACTGTGGGAAAATAAATTAGGATTTCTCTATAATTTGTGCGGATATGCACAACTGGGCAGTAATTTATAGCTCAGAAAAAAAAAAAAGGACACAACTGTTTACAAACTCAGATGAAGCAAAAATCAGCAGCAGAAAGCAAGGCCATTCCCCAACCATAAATGGCTTGTATTACACTATTCCAAACTATATGAAACGAAAAAAGAATACAAGTACTAACTTATATATACAAGTTTGAAATAAAGTAAAGCAAACAGTGAAAAATGTGTTGATGCTTCTAACAGATGATACTCACATGTCTAAATCCTAGTTGAAGTAGACTGTAAATACAGACAAGAAGACAGGATGCAAACTACATGGCTAAGTTTAAAAAAAAAAGGGATCAATGTGCATTGCAATGAGATAGAAATTTCCCTTCATATGTGCAAAAATCCACAGTTTCATTAATGTAGAGGTCATACTTCTAGTATCAGATCTTGGACAAAACCAGTCTCCCTACATCCTGGAATCTACCTGTTTACATCAGCCACTTCTAAGTGCACAGTACCCTGTTCACATAGATAGTATTCAGCAGTTTCTGGCATTTCTCAGAAATTTAATGTTCACCTGCCTTAAATCTTGAAAACAAAGGGGAGAGTTCATCCAGGGCATCATACCAATGCTATTGAGTTATACCAACAGTTAAATCAAACTCAAATTCTCTCTTCTTCCATGGTGGCAGGAGTCCTTACAGGACTTGTAAACAGCAGTACACAATACTGTAAACAAATAATTTAAGTTCTGTTTTATACAAGATGTTAAGTTAACCCAGGTCTACCAAACAGGTGAAAATGAAAAGGGTGGCTTCACACAAAATCCTTCCCTTTTCTCCCAGCAATTCTTTTCACTACATAAATAATCCTGAGCTGAAACAGGGGTTGATGAGAGCCTTTTTTGCATATAAAAACAATGTTCTAGAGTCAGCTCTCATGTTCTGTCAGGAAGTCAACTGCTGGAGAGATTAAACTGAAGTATTTCAAACCATTTGTTACTTTGGAGGAGGACTTATAATTTGGTGTGGCGTCCAGTTCTAGACCCAGATGCTGAGCTTGCCAGGGAAGCCGATGCTGCTGCATCCTCAGCTTCCTCCAGCTCATCGTGTAGCTCCTGGCTAACACTAGACTGGAGGGCTGCAGGAGTTAGCCACTCCTTCGGCAGACAGCTCTGGAGAAACGGTATGCAAGAGCTGAAGTAGGCAAGGCGATTCACCCACCGTGGAATCTCTTTTCCACACAGAATCTAGGGGGAAAGGGAAAAGAAAGGATTAACTTGTCTTCTGGGTTCAGCAGTAACAAAGCTACAATATTGTAAATAAAAAGAAAAGGCTGCAGCAGCCTTGCAATTTATGTATCACAAATGCCAGTCAAGAAGCACTCAAGTTAGCTGCACTACAGCTTTCTCCATCAGTAAAAGCAACATCTCAAGTCACATGAGGAGACTTGTTTTCCACCGTTTGACACACGATTCTCCACTTTTTTTAGAAGTCCTGAAAAGCCTAACCACCTCACTCTTTTGAATAACTTCTATAAAGGGCACCAAAATGAGTTAAGGTATGCTTTCTATTCACTGCTAATTCCTCAGAAACAGAAATTGCAGGAGAAATTTCACTATTACAAAAAAGCACCCTGACTTGGCATTACGCATACAGCTAAGGCTATTTATTGTGACGGCCTCTGGTGACTTTGCAAACAGTATCACTATCTTACAGCACACAGGCCAACCACACACACTCAGGTTCACCGGAACAAAAGCAGCTATACAAGGCAAAGCTGGTTTTAACTCCTCAAAAATATATAAAGCTGCATTAAGTACTTGTTTTTACTCTACAACAGTCATTAAATGGTTTTGTTGTCACTATTCAAGGAGCGAACTATTTTACTTAACTACCTCCATATTCACTTCTGTATTACTTACTCTAGTGCAAATCTGGAGAAAATCATAGGTAATAGGAGCATTACTCTGTTGTAACTGGGCAGCATTTAACTTGTAATTATATCCCTGTTCTTATAGTCAATTTGAACACTAAATAGGACAAGACATAAAATAGAAACAACATGACCATGAGGTTGAAGAGTACAGCAAAAACCTGGCCATATAGGCCAGATTTCAGGCTAACTGCAGCTTTGTCAGTGTCTCGCCCTACTTACTTGTACCAGCATTGCACATGAATCATCATCTCAGTAAAATCTTCCAGTACCACTGGAAGATAAGTCTACATAAAACATAGGCTATACAATAAGTGTGCCATTAACTATTTTGAAAAAAAGAGCAATAAAATTTTATGGAAGTTCACCATGGAAAACATAGCCATCCCTTTTTTTGGAGTGCTTCAGTGAAACATTAGAATAAATTCTGACAAGCACAGATTGCTAACTACCGATAAAAATCGCAACTGCCATTCCCCACTTTGTCCTGGGCTACTTGTTCCTGACCCTTTCCCTTGTGTTGATACACATGAGTGATCAGGCATTCAACCATACTGGCAAAGCAATTGTTAAAATAAAGCTGAGGGGAAAACCCAAAGCTCATTCAACCCCACAATCAGATACTTTGCACAACCACTCATGATCAGGATGCAGGTGCTGGCAGCGCAGTAACATGACAAAAGCCTCTCAGGCAGAAGATTAACATTGTCTGTGAAACTTCAACACCTTTGTTATTCTTTAACAGTAGGTCATAACTATAAAATTATTTTCAGTGTGATGGCCCTGTGAGGAAATACTGATAAAAATAACACATGGTTCTATCTTCAGTAGTGATCTCTGAAGCATCTGAAATGATTTTGAAATCCTGTTAATACTTTATTTACTAGGTCTCTCAATTAGGAACGCACCCCTGCTCGAACCCAAACTATGTATGACAACAATATTTAGCATTTTTGGCAGCAAGATCTTGTGCTTTGGACATAAGCACAAATAAAACCTGGAAAACAGTGACATTTGCCCGAGGTAACAGAGATAGGAAGCTGGAAATTAGGCCAAACATCCCAAAGGAAAGGAAGGAGATGATGCTCTGTAGCCACCTGGGAAGCACCTTTCTGTAGACCATCATGTTTGTTTACCTCAGATAAAGCTGAAGAAAAGTGATTGCAGTTTTTGTGCATTAGGTGGTAAGCATTTCCTTTGAATTCTTTTCCAAGCTCTTCTACTATTTTTTCTATGTCATCTTCCATAAAGTCAGTACTGCCTAGAACCACGGCCTCTCTAGAAGAGAAACAGAGACAACAGGTGGTGATCAGGCTTCCATGATATAGGTAGATTACTGTTCATCCCTTGCTCAAAAATCACCCCACTGTGGGTGGCGAGATCTTTCTGCCTTCCTAGAATAACACAGATTCTTTCTGTTCCACATTACAGCACCAATTTCATCTTTACCATGAGAGATTATTTCCTTGACAATTGTCCACCTGTAGCTCATTTACGTTCTTTACAACTTTAATCTGACAAACACTGGATGTGATTTTCCCTTCATCTCCAAAGGATATTGTTTCTAAGAGACAGCTGAGAACAGATAAGAGCTTGTAATGCAGGGAAGGGTCAAGGCAATCATACTGAGAAAGCGGAAGAGAGACATGAGGAAACCTTGAAAAGCAACATTTTTCAGCTTTTTCTTTGAATAAAAATTTCATTACCTTGAAAAAGTTACCCCTTTGTATATACTGTATGAATAACAAGAGCTAGCCACAAGTCCACATAATTTTTTTTTTTTTTACACATTTAAGGAATTTAATGGTATGCTAAAAATAATGTTCTCTGCCGTAGACACTTCACTGTCTCATCACCTCTGTCTACCTTTCATTTCTGAGTAAAGAAAACACACTAATTTCTCAGAAAGTCAGAAATCCTGCAGTGTCATTCAACACATCTCCAAAATAAATGCAACAAGTTGTCTTTCGAATATGCCTTCTCAAAAGCAAGAAAATAGGTATCTCTCTTACTTAAATTTAAATGTTTCTCCTAGCTCAGAAGCATTTCCTGGTGAAATTTCAAATATTCCAGAAAAAGGGTATGGATGACCACCATAGGCAAATTCTGAAAGAGAAAACTCAGATTTAACAAAAACAGCGTACAATGACAGAAAAGACCAGCAGACCTCACTGACTGGAAGATCGCTTCACAAGGTTGTAAAGCTAGAAGCCACACAGCTTATTTACATGGGTAACAAATACAAGGAGGTGGAAATGAATAGTTTTGTTAGTCACTAGTCTCCCTAAGTAAAAACTGACAGGAAGTTTCCTACATCAGTGTACAGGTTTAACTTGAATAACTTTACAGTAAGTATACATGGTTTTCATTGTGTAAGTGAGGATTTACAAGTTAAATTGTAAATCCTGTCAATGTTCTTTATAAATGCTTGTCTAGAAGCCCACTTACATATTTAGAGATTAGGGATTCAAAGTACTGCATCCTCGAAGGTCTGATGGTGCTTCTATTCAGTGCGCTCTACAGCTGTGCAGCGAGTAGTGGCCTAATAGGTTAAATTTTAGAGTTCAACTGTCCTGACTTCTTTACTATAACAAGAAAGTAAACCAGTGCTTGCATCTGAAGTCTGCATGTAGCATCTGCTGGCATAAACACTTACAATACCTGAAAATATCATGACGTGCTTCAGCTTCCTTCTGTGTCTGTATGATAACACAGCATGCCACACCCAGAGCGCAATAAAAAGCTTTAAGCGTGACTTCACACTTCCTTTACTCAAAACTTGTCACACATCATCCAAGCCTAGCATTCAGTTTTGTGGATAATCTTTTTTACAGCAGGTTAATAAATAAAGTTTGATGTGCTTTGAAAAATGCAAGTCATTGTTCTAGCAGGCATATGACCTGCTATATGAGAAAGCTGTTACAATCTGAACAGGAAGGGAGGCACATGTATTTGGCACAGCTCAAGAACTGGGTTTCAGGCACAGCACTATTAAGAGTCAGGTCTTTCTGGTTGGGATTAAAAGAAATACAAAAAAGTTTTAACAATAAGCATTGTATTTTGTCAATTTGTTGCTTTGATAACACTTGCAAACCCACTTACCATGCAACCATTATAAACTTTTATAGTTTAAGATAACTTTGCGCAATGTGGTCTTTGGATTGCATGCCACACCTTTTGCTGCCTCCCCTCATCTCCAAACACATTCCAAAAAAAGAAGTGAAGTAGATTTTTCTCCTTTAAATGGACTACTTTTAGCAACACCATCACCTCAGAGCATGATTATACTGCTAGGCAGGAACACCTCAGACCTGAGCCTGTGCTACAGCATGCTCAGAAACACGTTCTGGCAGAAACAGGGATTCAAAGTGGCCTGAACAGATCAGGAAGCTGCATCCCCAAGGTACAACCTATTTAGCAAAATCAGAATGTATTGCTGTATTTATCACAGGTCTATCTTTTGTAAACAGTATGCATGAGATGCCTTTTAAAGAAGCTGCCTCTTCAAAACAAGCCAACCTTACCAATAAGGAATAGACAGTTTTTTGTGAGCATCATGCACTTTTACGTGCCTATGTGCAACAGACTACTGTTTCTGTAGTTAAAAATTAACTCCTTGCACTAAGTGCTGGCAGAATACTGAGGAAACATGATTCAACCACGCTTATATGAAGCATACACTTGTTTTAAAAACAGGTATTTTGAAACCTAAAATAAAGATTTCTATGCCTAGCTGAATAAATTGCACACTTTTTCACAGCTGCATAGCTTTATACAAGATGACTACCACATTATTCGTATCCAAGGTTTTTTTGAGAGGCAGAAGAGATGAGAACTTTAAAACAAAACTGATGAACAGTTTTCAGAAGCCAGGCTTCCCTCTCTACCTGAAAAAAGTTTTTTAAATAACAGCATTACCGGAACAAAGAGTAAGTTATGTTTTTCTTGTACGTACCTCGGCCATACACCTCTATACCTGAATGGAACACTCCAATTCCAAGGGAAGAAGTATATTCATTCATCCAATACTAAAAGGAAAGAAGAAAACAAAAAAGACTCGAGTCAGTTTCCGATACAGATTTGTCTTCTGATAGCAGGCTGACATGTATTTGTCCCCCACATCAAAAGCATAAAAACCTACCACAAAGTGAAACTGCACAACCCATTTTATGGGAGCAGAACATGCTGGTAAAATTCCCTGACTGTACACAGTGAATTAATTCCATTAGGTTCTACTCCAGTGTTTTAGTGCTGTCTGTGTCTGCCAGCCAAGGAGACTGTACCTGGGAGAGATCAGATCAACTTTTCGATTGTCAACAAGTTACAGGTTGTAAAGTTTTCCATTAGGTAGAATACATTCTAGAATCAACTGCAGTAATTTCACAGGAGCACTTTTTTTTTTTTATATAACATCAGAATGTTGGACTGCAATATACACACACCAACTTTCATTTATAGCAATGACCACATTTTTGCTTATGACCAGATGTGCACAAGACATACTCAGGGATATGTAAGATGGACTGAAATTACTTTAGAATATTTTGTCTTTGAATAGTCAATTGGTGGTCACCATACAAGAGACTAAGCTCTCTCCACACTCCTGATGTACGTGCCTCCATACATTAGGTGTAAGTCTTTTGTGTACGTCTAACAACTGTTTCCAATATATTACTTCTATTGTAGCCAACAGATAATAGCTGCATTTCAAAAGGAAAACGGAAGTGATAATTAAAAAATAAAATCACACAATCCCACAAAAAAACCCACCTTCCCTTAGTGCTTTCTCTTTTCTTTTTCAAAAGCAGTGGCAGCAGCAAGTGCTGATCAGGAACTAACTATTACCCTCAAGACCTTAAAGATACACGGAGTTCTGGAAAGGGAAAACCTCAACATTACTGTCTTTCCTTGGCTACATCACCACCCTCAAAGTATCAGTCTGCAAGCAGTAAAAATTGTCAAGTGACATAATTTAAAAAGGAACCTCAAACAAAGGGGGAAAAAAAGCCTTAGCTGTGTCCTTAAAACTGAAACTGGCTAGCAAGAAAATCCTCTCAAAAATACAAGGAAAACATTATTTTGTCAATTACTCCTGTAGTGGGATTTTTTCCTCCCAGGTCATCTGGTCCCAAAGGGCACCCCTATGAGCTTCCTCAAAGCAGACTTCAAAAAGTCAGCTGGCAGGTAGGATACAGACTGAGGTAGCACCCCAACAAATTAATATTTGTTTAGCAAACAGAAAGAAAAAGCAGCTATCTTCTTTACACAACCGGTTGACATAAGTGCTTTCTGATGTAAAGTCACTACTAAAACAGCACAAATTATGATAAAATGTAAAAGGTTACAGGTGTCACTTTGTTAAGATGTGCTAGCTAGAGTTAGTACATGATTTACAGGGCTATTACAAACATTATGTTGTATAACTTGCATTTCTGAAAGCCATTTTCTCCCAATAAAAATGATATACTAAACTTTGGGCTGAGAAGCTATTTATGAAAATCAAAACAAGTTAAATGGCAAAAAGAGTAAGTCAGGCCAAAAGTTACAAACTTTCAGGCACTAAATATGTATGTATTTGGCTTTTACAGTCATCTTTATTCTAAGTATCATCAAACCTAAAATAAATGGTCCCTCAAATTCAGTTACTAGCAGTTGCCAAACATCAGCATATCACTTTTCCAGCCAAAAAATCACAATTGTGCTCGCAGACACAGGATATGAATAACTATATGGATAACAAGATGCTGAGGATTTGATGTTCTTTTCTTCAGACAAGCCAGTTGTGAGAAGTTTTGTCAAAATTAATTAACAGGAGACAGATTTTGGTCCTTATATTTATTTAAAGCTAAGGATCATTGAGTTCCGTGGATAAATTTTGGTTAAGACTAAACAACACTTTGCTTTAACTTCTGGCTTTTTTAATGCATTGCATTGTGACGTTAACTAGTGGGGTATGGATGATTATACCGAATTATCACCTTAGTCTATGTAATGGTCTTTCCTTCCTCCCCCAGAAAAGAGCAAGGCTAGCCCATATGTATCTAACTAGGCTTTTCAGATCAAGCTACATCCAGAAATATAATGGGTTAGGTTTAGTCTGTATAGAAAGACATAGAACAGGGAGAACACAAGAAGAGGGGAAGGAAGGAGAACGATGTCAAGATGACCCAACTAACTTAATGGGTTTGAGAGCATAAAAAATTGGATTTTGTTCATTAATGTGAAATCAAAGCCCCCAGGGAAATGGATGAGCTACTTAAATATAAAGCTGTTTCAGTTCTGAAGCCAATGCTATCCCCCACTTTACCACCTGACCATTTCAAAGTAGTTTTAGGTTTACATTTATAGTCAAATGGTAGGAAATTCAACATTCAGTTTGTCAGCGCAGGAATAGAGTATGTTTGCCTAATGAGAAGGTGTATCCAAAGGAACCTAATCTAGAACTGAGCTACATAGGTGCTCTAGCCTCTCCTCTCCTGAACACCCATTCTGCCAGAAAACTCTGGGTCCGGCCTCTGGATTTCAAATAATCTACGCATCACATACGCATCAGATCTGTTAATGCCAAGCAAGGTTACTGTTATTCTCTGAAAATGGAATAAATGTTACACAAGATATCTCATAAGCAGTGTAAGTAATAAAGCCTAGTTTGTCACTAGACAGAAAAAGAGAAAAATTATTCATGTTCCTCCCCTCTCACAACCCTGGGAAACCTAATGGAAGGTATAGGGAGAGGACAGAAAAGCAAGTCACCAACCCTCCTTATTGATCCATACAGAAGCACACAAATGGAATGGAAAGCTGCCCTAACGAGGTGTTCAGCAAGTCTGGTGCTATTCAAGTACGTGCTCCTTCTTACTCGTGCCACCTAAACACATGGGGCTCACTAGACTACAAAAACTGAGCAGTGGTGGCAAATTAAACAAACGTTAGCAGCTTTTGAAGAAGTGCCTAAAGCAAGCTGGCACTTCACTTAGTATTTCCAGTAAGAACAGAGTAGGTTAACTGAAGATAAAAGAATTTCATAGAATGATAAAATCTTTGGGTTGGAAGGGACCTTTAAAGGCCATCTAGTCCAACCCCCTACAATGAGCAGGGTCATCTTCAACTAGATCAGGTTGCTCAGAGCCCTGTCCAACCCGACCTTGGACGTTTCCAGGGATGGGGCATCTACCACCTCTCTGGGCAGCCTATGCCAGGGTTTCACCACCCTCATTGTCAAAAATATCTTCCTTATACTGAGTCTAAATCTACCCTCTTTTAGTTTAAAACCATTACCCCTTGTCCTATCACAACAGGCCCTGCTAAAAAGTCTGTCCCCATCTTTCTTATAAGCCTCCTTTAAGTACTGGAAGGCTGCAATAAGGTCTCCCCAGACCCTTCTCTTCTCCAGGCTGAACAACCCCAACTCTCTCAGCCTGTCCTCATAGGAGAGCTGTTCCATCCCTCTGATCATTTTTGTGACCCTCCTCTGGACCTGCTCCAACAGGTCCACATCTTTCCTATGCTGAGGGCTCCAGAGCTGGACGCAGTACTCCAGGTAAGACAGAATTACTTCCCCCCCCCCCCCCGAAGAGTAATTATATCTAATTATTACTTAATCTGGATCAGCTATTGGAAGGTTGGTCACATTTTCCCATTGAACAAAATGTTTTCTCTCACTGAAGAACGAAATGCAGGACAAATGCAACATAAAGTACACTGAATTTGGCTACAGCTGAAATGATTATACACAGCTTACAAAATAAAGACTGTAAATTAAATGACACATATATATAGCTTGTTGGTTCAAGAACATGCCGTAAGTTCTGGAATCCCAAATTGATCCCAAAACCTACATCCTTGCTTCCATTACACAAACTGGATTCCTTTCGTTTAGTCTGGTATGAATTTTGCCATAGTAGAATGTACAGAAGAAGCACAATCCCATATCCTCAATATTATGCAGTAAGTCAGTTCTGTAAAACAGGAATTCATGTTTAATGCAACTATCAGAATGAAAATATTAAAGTGTTTTTCTATGTGCATGTCACTGTCACTGAAATGTCACTGAAATGAAAGAAAAACACTAATGCCAGTGCTTCAAAAATATCTTCATTACTTTCTTCAAAGCTTTCATTTATGTTGATACTTTAGAATGTTATAGCCTTATTTGACAGGGGAAAAAATAGGATGCTTACTTTGGGCACAAAAAACTCCTAAAAATAGCAGTTAGTTAAAGTACTCTGGTTCTCAAAACACAATATAGCAAAGACTTCACCATCGTAAAAGATCTTCAAAGCCATGAATATGCAGCACATAATTAGACCCTTAAGCTTCTCTCCCTCCATAACGTTACCAGTACTTGAAAGTCCACTTTCTTGTATGACACACACACCCCCCTCATCAACCTTTGGTTTTATCAAAGATTTTAACTTTTTTAAGCGCTAAAGACAATGGAAGGGTACATGCTCCAACAAACCGACTCAGTCCTGTAAGGAGTTTCACTAGTAGCAAGGTCATCTAGTACTCCCCTGCACACCTAAGCAGTCGTCTGGGAAACGAAGCTACATTTAGCACTCAGTTTAGAATAAAGCTGTTCATATAACTCTTGCAATTATAGTAGTGTTACAGTAGTGATTCTGTCAACCAGGTGACTAACAGTGGTCTCTTGTTCCAAAAGAGAAACAACCACCCCAAACTCAAACTACAAAAAACCCCAAATCCACCTCCAAGTGACACGAAATGTCAGAAGCAAACAATAAACCTGCTAGTGCCTCAATACACAGTTGGCAAGATTTGATGAATAAAGGGAACTTCCAAACAGCTATTATGAAAGACTCTTCCCTTCTCTCCCCTATTCTTAGTGCCCCCAAGCAATGCAGTATCATTGATTTCAGCAGGCTTGTCTACGTGCAGTAATGTACCTGCTATGCAACATGAAAGCGAGGCTTTAGTTTAAGCTCCTGCTTCAAGCAAGTTTAAAATGGACTGAGACATCGTTTAGCAAGAGTTCAAGGCAGGATGCATACTGACAGTGTCTT